ACTGCTTTCCACACTCGCTATGGCCACTACGAGTTCGTGGTGATGCCCTTTGGGCTCACCAATGCTCCTGCCACATTCATGGACCTCATGAACCACGTGTGCAGGCCGATGCTGGATCGGTCTGTGATAGTCCTTATCGATGACATCTTGGCTTACTCTAAGGCACAGGAGCAGCACGAGGAGCACTTGCAAGAGGTATTGGATACCCTGAGGAGGGAGAGCTTGTACTCCAAGTTCTCCAAGTGTGAGTTCTGGTTGCACAAGGTGCAGTTTCTGGGGCACCTTGTCAACCAGAATGGTATTTTGGTTGACCCGGCCAAAGTAGACGCCATGATGAGATGGGAGGTTCCGAAGTCTCCATCTGAGATTCGGAGTTTCCTTAGGTTAGCAGACTATTACCGGAGATTCATACAGGATATCTCCAAGATAGAGGTACCCTTGACACGACTGACGAAGAAGGTCGTCGTATTTCACTGGGGCCTGAGCAGCAGGCAGTGTTCGAGACGTTGAGATGGAGGTTGTGCGAGACGCCTGTTTTAGCCTTGCCAGGGGGCGTGGAGGATTTTGTAGTATACTGTGATGCTCCCATCTCGGGGTTTGGGCACGGTATTGATGTAAAGGAGGCACGTCATCGCTTACGCCTCGACGCAACTGAAGCCTCACGAGGCGAACTACCCGGCGCATGATTTGGAGTTGGGGATGGTTGTTTTCGCTCTCATGAATTGGCGGCATTACCTCTATGGGGTCCGTTGTACCATATACATGGATCACAAAAGTTTGAGGTACCTCATGGATCAGCCAAATCTGAACATGAGCCACCGTCGGTGGCTAGATGTGGTGAAGGATTACGACTGTGAGATCCTCTACCACTCCGGGAAGGCCAACGTTGTGGCCGATGCGTTTAGCCGCAAGGCAGCCCCGATCAGAGGCATTTGCTTGAGGATGATGGTGGTGACTCCACATTTGGAGTGGATCTGAGAGGCCCAGGTTGAGGGTATGAAGGAGGAGCACCACAAGTGTGGGCGGATCATAGGCCAGGTGGCCTTGTTTGATTATGACAGCCATGGGCTACTAACCCTGCATGGGAGGGTCTAGGTTCCGTACTGGGGCAGAGTACAACATATTCTGATGGATGAAGCTCACAAATCCAGATTTTCCATCCATCCGGGGGCGACGAAGATGTACCGAGATCTTCACCCTGATTACTGGTGGTCGTGCATGAAGCGGGATGTAGCCTGGTACAACGAGAGATGCCTGAACTGCAAGAAGGTCAAGGCAGAGCACCAGAGGCCTCACGACAAGATGCAACCATTGTATATCCCTATATGGAATTGGGAGGATATTATTATGGATTTCATCACGAAACTTCCTAGGACCCTACGGGGAGTGGATTCGATTTGGGTCATCATGGATCGGTTGACCAAGAGTGCCTATTTCATCCCAATCCAGAAGAGCATTTCGGCCGAGAAGCTGGCGAACATCTACATCAGATAGGTAGTAGCTCGACACGGAGTGCTAGTTTTCGTGATTTCTAACCGAGACGTGCGATTTACTTCCAGATTATGGAATAAATTTCATGATGAGTTGGGTACTCGTCTGCACTTTAGCACGACTTTTCACCTGTAGACAGATGGTCAGAGCAAGCGGACCATCCAGACTCTGAAGGATATGCTGCAGGCATGCGTCCTAGACTTTGGTGGTAGCTGGGATACCTACCTTACCATGGAAGAGTTTTCCTATAATAATAGCTACCACACGAGTATCGACCGTCCTCCCTTTGATATGTTGTATAGGAGGAAGTGCAGGACCCCGATATGCTGGGGAGAGGTTGGGCAGAGGGTCATGGGGAGTACCGAGGTGGTACTCAAGACGACAAAGAGGATCCAGCAGGTCCGGAGTAGGCTTCAGACTGCTCAGAGTCGGCAGAAGAGCTATGCCGGCAAACGTCGATCGGACCTGGAGTTCCAGGTCGGGGATATGGTTCTCCTAAAGGTGTCACCTTGGAAAGGTGTCATCCGGTTCAGGAAGCGGGGCAAGTTGGTCCCCAGGTACATTGGTCCTTTTAGGGTTGCAGGACGGGTGGGAAAGGTGGCGTATAGGCTGGATCTGCCAGGCGAGCTTAGTCAGATCCACAATTGCTTTCATGTCTCCCAGCTGCGGAAGTGCCTGGTGGATGAATCTGCGGTGGTACCTCTATAGGATATTTAGGTGGACGACAACCTGAACTACATCGAGTTGGTGAAGGTGCAATGGAAGTGCCACAAGGGCTCATAATGGACTTGGGAACCAGAGGACAAGATGAGGGAGCACTACCCCGAGCTATTTCCAGATGCAGCAGACTTCGAGGACGAAGTCTAAAATAAGCGAGGGAGATTTGTAACGCCCGATTCTTGGTATGTATTTTAATATAGAATTATTCATTTTTGCAAAGGGAATCGACGAGTCGGAGGCCCCATACTGGTCGAGTAGGAACGAATGAATGGACACGGGACTTGAAGTCTACTCGACAAGTCGAGAGGCCTCGACTCGACGAGTAGGGCTGCCAGAGTGAAACCCTAATTTTCAGGGTTTGCACCCTATTTAAATACCTTAACACCCCCATTGTGGCCTCCCTCATCGCCTCCCATAGTACAGAAAACCCTAATTTGTGATCTTGAGCTATGTGAGCGTGTGTGAGTGAAAAAGAAGTGATTTCTTGGTGATTTCTTGAAGGAGGGAAAACTAGAAGTGCTTGGTTGAAGGAAGGAGCTTAGGATCCAGAAGAAGAACTCCATTTCCAGCTCATTTGAGGTATAAAGTCTATACCTTGTGTATTCACCTACTAGATCCCTTCGTAGGGTAGTTTAGGGCTTTAAGAAACCATTTTTGGAACCAATCATGGATCCAAGCATGTTTGGGGTCAAGACTTCAGATCCAGAATCTTTGACGGACTCCATCGCATAAAGGTGCCAACTTTATGGCTATGGAAGTCCCATGCATCATAAGAACCACTTTTAGAGCCTTTTTAACCTAAATAACCCATTCATGAACATAAAGTTTGTAACTTTACGTGTTATATAGACCCTAGGAGGCCAGATCTATGTTTTGGATGCATTAAGCCTGACTAAAATCGATTGTATGGAATTAGACTTTGGGTGACTCGAAGAGTCGTTCATAGGACTCGGCGAGTTGGGTCGTGGTCCCCCAACCCTTTCTATTAATGAGCACACTCGTTGAGTCTAGAAGATGACTCACCGAGTTGGACGTGTGTATGGACTTGAAGATCAAAGAACTCGACGAGTCCAAAGATGAACTCGGCGAGTTGATGAGCGAAAAGTCCCAACTGATATAAAGAGGAACTCGATGAGTTCAAGGATGAACTCGGTGAGTTATGAATGAAATAACCCGACACTGTATGAAGGAGAACTCGACGAGTCCAAGGAACGACTCGACGAGTTCAAAGAAAAAGTCCTATTAGGAATGTATCCTTAGAGATCGAATAGATTAAAGTAGGTAAAGAACACAATATAATCAAACTGGTGCTGAAAGATTAACTCTCACACCTCAGAAGAACTCGATGAAGAATTACTTCTGTAGAGGCGTTAATTAGGGTTACAAAGATAATTCTGAAAAGTTACCAAACATACGTAGCATGCATGCACCTTGTATACTATAACCCTAACATTAAATACGAGTGGACATGCCCAACTTGTTTAAACAAAATGGACTAAATAACATAGGCCCAATGACGCAACACTAATATCTTCAACAATCTCCCCTTTTGTGTTAATTGAAACCATGGCCATGTTAATTCGTGATTCGCTTCTGCACTTCGTAGACTTTGGGAATGAAACTCAACAGCAGCTTGCGAACATGAATGTACCAAGTGATCATATCAGTGAAACACTTCACATCATCTTTGTTGTTTCCCTTAAACATCACAATAAGTTCCAAAATAAACTCCAGACAAGAATTAGTAAACAAGTGCTTGTCTTCAAGATCAAAGAATAACTTGCGTCGATCTGCTCCTTGACGATCTCTAGCTGTGTATACCACAAACCATCCTTCCTTGTAAATCTTTCTTGGCTTGAGCATCTGGAAGTATTTCGGAGCTTCTTTTGGAACAACACTTGGTTTTTGCCTCAGAACAGTGGCAATTTCCACATCCATTAATCCAACTTCCTGAATGTAAGACCTGATCAAAGATTGAAGATGAGCAAACACAGAATCATACTTCTCATTTTCTCGCAGCGGAATATTGAATATCACCATCCAGTCATGGGGGTTCAAGCATGGCAGATCTGCGAGAGTGAATTCGCAGGCTTGACGGGCAGATCCTCTCGCAACTTTAAACTTCGCATTAGGGAAGCTTTCAGTCTCGATTGGCCCAGTAACCTTCACAGCTACAATTTTGATCGCACTCCAGGTTTCGAACTGGGGCTTCATATGCTTCAAATAGAAGGCAAACAGCAGCTGATCACCAGTGCCGTCTGAGAAAGGAACATTAGCAACCTTTATAAAGGCACGGAACCTGAACGCCTTTGGTGTGATAGGAAGGTCTAATTGCAAATCTTGTGAATTTTGGACATCAAAGGAAGCAATAGGATCCAACCAATACTCACTTGGCATATCCACAACTTGGTTTGGCATGCGCTTCAGGGTCCACTTTGGAAATAATAACATTTTGCTTTTAAGAGTGGCCTGAGCTACCTTTTCAGCTCTTTCCTTTTCTTCAGCCTCTCTGACGATGCGATCATGTTCATCAATTTCTGCCTCGCGAGCCTTCCGCCTTTTAAGCTCAGCTTCATCAGGCTCTTCGTCTTCACTATCATCAATAATGGGTTCATTGCTGAATAACGTTTCCTTGTCTTTTGGATCTTGCTTGATGACATGAGGTTTAACTGAAACTTTGGGTTTGACATCATCCGATTTAACTTTAGAACTCCCTTTTCCCCCTTGTTTCGGAAAAGACAGCGGCGTCGAAACACCCTCCAAACGGTGCAACATTACGAACACCGGTCTTAGCTTTTCTGCCAGATGCTTTCGTACTGTGATGGAAATCATGGGATCACGGGCCTCAATTATATAAGAGAGTACACCATTAACATCATAAATACAACTTTGCGTGACTGCTTTCTCTGCTAGCAAATCATCGACCTGCTTTTGAGTGAAGTGAAGCTTGGTTTCCAACACCTTACATTTTTCCTCTTTGACTGCGAGAGCATTCATGATCTCGTTCTCCGTCGCCAAGTCTGCTTGAAGCTTTGTGAGTTTCGCATCAATAGAAGTCTGGAATGCATCATGATCGGACTTGAACACGGTGCGAAGTTCAGCAAAGTTCACCTTTTCTGCTTGGAACAGGGCACCAACATTCTGAATAGCCTTGTTCGTTGTTGTGGTGTTGGCGTTGTAGGTAACCTGGTAAGCGTCCATGAATTCCCTTGTGTCAGCAATTAGTTTATCGACTTTTTCGGTCGTCTCCTTGCAAACAACAGTAGAGTCAGAACCTGCCTTGGAGAAACTAGAAGTGTTGGCAGTATGTTCCTTTGTAACTCTCTCAAGGATTGATTCAACCGCAGCTTTCGAGTAGGCTTCAGAAGTGGAAACGCTGGATGCAAGAAGCAGCCGATCAAGCATCTCATGAAGAGATTTGAACTCCGCTTTCGAAGTAGAGACATCATCTTCATTGTCAACCCTTATTTGAAAAGAACTGAAATAGAATTCTTCCAAATCATCATCTTCATCATTTCCGAAAATTATATCCGGATCGTCTGTGCAAATGGGAGAGATAGTTGGAGCAACATGGGTTGAGAAACCTGAAGTGTTAGCCCCCATATCAGATACGTTGACTGAATTTACAGGTGAAGTAGAGGTTTGTGGTGGAATTGTGGAATCTGTGAAAATTGGTATGGAAACTGGAATAGTTGTGGGTGTTTGAGTTGATACAGGTGGGAGAGGAGCAATGGTGATTGGTATAGAAGTAGTTGTTGTTGGTGAGGGAGGTGGAGAAGGAACAGAATCATTAAGGGGTGGAGTTACCTCACGATCAGTGCGAACTTGTTCTTCTTCCTCATTGCGAACGTGTTCTTGTTCTTTAGTGCGAATGGGTTCATCTTCCTCATTGCGAACATGGGGATCCTCCTCAATGCGAATCTCCGATTCGGTATCAGAATCCGAATTTTCATCTTTACTCTGAGAAGGAGTAGGAGTAGGAGACTTTCGACTTCTAGCGGGTTGCTTTATTCTCTTTGGTGTAGCAGTAGAGGTAGTAGGAGCCTTTCGCTTCTGAGATGGAGGTTTCGGAGCCATAGAAGGCCGTTCTTTCGTAGAATCTTTCTTGGTATGTCTCTTGGACCCTTTGCCCCCTTTCTTGGGTTTATCAGCCTCAGCCAAAATGGATTGGAACTCATCAGTTAAAGGACGAGGTCCTGAAGGAGTAAGGGCGTGATATCCCTCTAGAATTTTACTCGTGGGAGGAACATCACAAAACATCGCTTCCGGAATGGAACCAATGAAATCAAACTTGGACCTATCTGCAATAATAATACCTGTTGTATGGAATGTTGCAATAGAAGCAATCAGTGCATCAATCATCACTGTAATTTTGAGCTGTTTAATAGCCCTGTTGACAACAACGGTCCAAAATCTCGCACAGGAGATCTCACTGTGACGAGTAACAGAGTGAGTGCTCTGGATGAATTGAGCCCAGAGGATAGAACTATAGTCTATGTTTTCACCAGTATATAGGCCATACATCAGACCCATGAAGAACTTGCTTGCACAATCGCTGCCTGTGACCCTTTCAAAAGAAGATTTGAACAAGATGGTGAAAAGGGCATTCCAAGTTGGTGGAAGATTGGGTTTATTGAACTTGGATACAGAAGTGAGTGTTTCCTTGTATCCCATTTGATAGAATATTTCCAAGATGGCTGCGTTGGAGATGGTTTCCGGATTGATCAGATTCTCAGATTGTGGAAGCCCTAGCAGATTGCAGAAACGGGTCTTGGAACTTGAGGTGGTGTGATTATGGATATCGAAGTAAATCCGTTGCTCGTCCTTGACATAGTTGGCAGTGGTATATGCTTTGGAGAGAATCGAGAGAGGAACATTCTCAACTTGAGACATAGCAATAGTAAGATGAGAGTATTTCAAGCACTCAATCAAAGGTAGAAGAAATGCATCATATTTTATCGGATCCAAATCGATGATTAGATTCTGATGTTGTTTCACTGAAAGGAGTGTTGAATGAGCAGTTTGATATTGAACAGACTGATTCTCAGATGAAGCCGCCATTGATGAAGCTTTGAAGAAGATGAACAGTAGAGAGCCTTTTAATCGCCAGAAATCTTTGAGAAAATTTTAAAAGTGGTAATGAAATAATGAACCATCAAAATCCTTTTATACGATTTGATTTGGTGAGAGAAATCCAGAGAGAGAATCTCGAGTACTAAACCATTGCCTGAAAAAGCGCGATTAGACGGCTATGACAAGTCAGAGGTGTGCGTCACGTGACGTAAGAATAGTTGTCCGTTCAACTCTTCACGCGCCCGTTTATATTCTGATCTTTTGAAAATATGTCGTGTCAGCTTATATTCTTTCGCAGTAAGGAATTTACGTTGAATGCATACGACTGCGAACCTGAAAGAAAAATGTAACCACGAACAAGACTTTTGAAAATCACAAGGATCTTCATGCAAGAGTATCAAAGAAAAAGTAATAAAACAAAGTTTATCTGTGGGATGTTGTGATGTCATATATGTGACATAAAACTGTTGATCCGAGGCAAATATCTCTTTCTTCATAGTCAAGAGAGACTAATAAGTGTGTATTCGGTTTCCTATTGAATACGATTATTTGTTTGATAAGAAACATTGAAAGGTATCTTTTATGTAAGGCTGGTAAAGGTGGTTTATCCGTGAACCAAACTACGAACTTGACATAAGTGCGAAAGTTGGAGAAGGTAATCGTGTGACCAGTGTAGTTAGTTGAACGAGTAGGTTGGGAATTTATTGCCATTGACTTGGAATAATATTGAAATCTTAAAAAAAATGGATCTTTTGGGTAGAAGAGTCTTGGTGGAAGACAATTCCATAAAGATCACGCAAAATATAAAAAGAGATTTCATGGTACCTCCCACAAAAGTGGTTTCGTTAATCCGTACGTGAAAACTAGAACATGTGATTATTCACCGTCAATTCATTGTGGGTATTGAATTTTGGGTTTCACTCAGTTCGTGGTAGAACGAAACTAAGATCATTAACACATATGTATGTATAACCATAAACCCCAGTGGTAATTTCTGAGAGTTTCAAGGGTTACATTGATGAAAGCGAAAGTGATGGAAAAAAGAGTAGATGGTGACAAGAGAGCGAAAGTACCTTTGCAATGCGAATGTGACCATGCAAATAACTCTTAACTCAATGCGAGAAGAGTAAGGTAGCTCATGACTAATGTGAATTCGCAACCTGATTAGGAAGAATTGATTGGTGATATCAATTCATTAAGGCTTCACAGTCGAGTCGTTGAGGCTTAGGTCAACATGCAGCAGCATGCTTCTAGGGACACTTAGCTAATAAATAAGTAACGAGAGTCATACCTGCCCCATCACACAACTAGATAGACATTGTGAATGTCTTCCTTTATGATCTTGGTGTGCAAAGAAAACGAACAAAAGGTAAAAATATTTTTGTAATTTTGATGTTTCTGAAAAGCAGTAAAATAAAGCAAATAAATTATTTTTGGTTTTTGGAGTTTTTCTGAAAATAAAGTAAAAACACTGATAATGAACAGTGGACTGCGAAAGGCTGCGAACGTTTGCACCAATTCGCAGTGATAAGACTGTTAATGAATAGTTGACTGCGAAAGGCTGCGAACGATCGCACCGATTCGCAGTGATAAACGATTTTGAAAACTGAGATAAGATAAGCAATTTAAACATAGAGATTAGCAAAGATACACAAAATATACAAAAGGATATGTGAAATACAAAACCACGAATGAACAGTGTCCTGCGAACTACTGCGAACACTCGCATTGATTCACAGTGAATATTTTATGAATGCGATAGTGGATTTGGTACAGAATCAGCTTCCATCATTCCCAGCCCTTGAAGGATTCTATTAAATGTTACTTCAGGTAGGGCCTTGGTGAATATGTCAGCCAATTGATCAGCGGATCTTACGAAATGAATCTCAATATTTCCATCTTCCATATGATCCTTGATAAAGTGATACCTCAGTGCTATGTGTTTCGTTTTTGAGTGTTGCACTGGGTTGTGACATATGCGAATGGCACTTTCGGAGTCACAATAGAGATGAATTCTTTTCATATTTAAGCCATAGTTGTGAAGTTAGCTTCGAATCCAAATGACTTGAGATGTGCACGAAGCTGCAGCAATGTATTCAGCCTCAGCTGTTGACAACGAAACACATGTTTGTTTCTTTGATTGCCAATTCACCAGCTTGCCATCGAGAAATTGGCAACCACCAGTTGTGCTTTTTCTGTCTAAACCGCAACCTCCTAAATCAGCATCTGAAAATGCTTGTACAAAGAAACCTGAGTTTGTAGGATACCAAATTCCAAGAGATGACGTTCATTTTAGATAACGTAAGATATTCTTGACAGCCACGATATGAGGTTCGCGTGGATTTGCTTGGAACCTAGCACAATAGCAAACTGAAAACATGATATCTAGTCTACTAGCTGTTAGATACATGAGTGAACCAATCATCTGACGATAGAGGGCCATATCAGTAGCCGGTTTATCCAGTGAAGGAGTCAGTTTTGTTCCGAATGCCATTGGAACCTTCGTCTTTGAGTCTCCCAACATGCCAAACTTAGCGAGTAGAGTTTTCGTGTAAGCCTCCTGATTAATGGAAATGCCTTCCGGTCCCTATCTAATGTTTAATCCAAGAAAAAAGTTAATTGGACCCATTGAGCTCATCTCAAATTTAGTTTCCATCAACTTTCGGAACTCAGCTGTTAGGATAGGATTAGTAGATCCGAAGATGATGTCATCAACATAAATTTGTACGATCATCAAGTGGTCACCCTCTTTCTTGCGAAAGAAGGTTGGGTCAACCGAACCTTGTTTGAATTTAGACATTTTAAGAAAACTAGTAAGAGTTTCATACCAGGCTCTTAGAGCTTGCTTTAGACCGTAAACCGCTTTGTTAAGAATGTAACAGTGATTGGGATATTTTTCATTTATAAACCCAGGCGGTTGCTCCACATAAACGGTCTCTTCCAATTCGCCATTTAAGAATGCACACTTCACATCCATTTGAAAAACTTCAAAGTTTTTGTGTGCTGCATATGCCAAGAAAATACGAACGGATTCCAATCTTGCAACGGGTGCGAAAGTCTTTTCGTAGTCAATCCATTCTTCCTGGCAATAACCTTTGACCACCAGTCTAGCTTTGTTTCGGATCACGTTTCCTTCTTTATGCATTTTATTCCTAAACACCCATTTTAAACCAACAACCGATGCATCTGGAGGAGTTGGAATTAGTCTCCAAACTTTGTTTCGCTCAAACTCATTGAGTTCATCTTGCATTGCTTCCATCCAATCAGAGTGATCAAGAGCAGTGTTGTAGGTTTTAGGTTCAATCTTGGATACGAACGAATTAAACATGCAAAATTCTACTTTGGAGAATAATGTAGTTTGTTTTGCTTTCAGTTGAGAACGTGTGAGAACTCTTTCCGATGATTCACCAATGATTTGGGGTTTTGGATGATCTTTTGTCCATTTGGTGAGGGGTGGGTAATTTGGATCATAGGAGGGATCCAGTTCAACATTTACTTCTTCTTCGAATTTTGACTGAGTATCATCATCATTTGTATTTGCATTCTCTCCCTCGAATGATGAAACAGTTTCGGCTTCAGGAATTGAATCATCACTTGCGAACGGAGGTTCATGGGTCAAAGTGTGTGGGGATTTATCTCCAACAGAAGGAGACTCAGTAGAAATGGGTGATTCGAAACCCTCCCCCTGGAATTGAATGTTAGACCCATAATTCTCCCCCTAGAAATGTGTGCTCGTGTCTTGAGGGTGATACGCAATAGAAGGCTTTAGAGGCAAGTCTTTTGCAGCATCATCGATAATCTTCTGAAGTTCGTCGACTTTATTATCCAATGCTTTCGCTTCCGATGAGATAGCTTTCGCAGGTTCATCAAAGAGTAACATGAATTCTTCATAAAGGTTGGACACAGGAATAATGGATTGACTTGGTTTAGGAAAGATTTCTTGATTTTGACTTTTGGATGACTGAATTTGCTTTAAGTACCTGTCGTCAAACATAACATAGTAGGTTTCTTCAATTTTCTTTGAGCGTTTGTTGAGAACCCGGTATGCCTTTGATGTTAGTGAATATCCAAGAAATATACCTTCGTCAGCTTTCACATCGAATTTGTTCCGTTGTTCTTTGGAATTGAAGATGAAACATCTGGAACCAAAAACATGGAAAAACTTAACGTTAGGTTTGCGATTATTT